AGGGACAGCTGCCGCTAGGGGGTCGTGGGGTCCCCTCCCCCCGCCGCTACCGCAGGGGGCCTCGAGCCGTACTGCGTGGGAGACGCGGCAAATCAATATTAAGTCATTGGCTCTCACGCTGGGGTGCACACACCCTCTGGGGGCACTGCTGGATGGAGCTGGTGCGGGGCCTGCAGCATCTGATGTTATAAAGGGGCCCTAAATTTAAAACACGTAAATATTAAAAACACAATCTTTTTTACTTGCATAGTAATGTAATTGTATTTTTTCATTTCCTATACAGCCAGATAATACGACAAATCGCTAACCTTAAACACCCAGTCGTTCATAAAAGTTTAAGGCAGTATAGCACTATAGTAATAGAGCAAGTGCAGAATCACTGACTGTCCTCTCGACAGACCTATTCTCCACCTGAGGACGGCTGCTTGCGTTGTGGCCGAAACGTCGTGAGAATTATTTTATTATGTTTTATTTTTATTATTTTATTATTTCCATTCTACGTGACTTTACCGAAAGAACCAAGAAGATGAATCCCTGCAGTCACGAAAGCTTTAAATCGAAACGGAATTGATAACTTGAAAGCATTTAGCGCGGAGCCCGTGAAAGTGCGGGGCCCGTAGCTACTACACAAGTCGCTACTAGGACAATCCGCCACTGCCTGGGGGTGCGAGACGTGGGCAGATACTTTTTTTTGGACGGTAAATCATCGAAACACAAATTAAGCACGGGCTACACGTGAGTACAACTTGCTTTGTTTCACCAAGCCCTCTGTATGTACTCACAAGGTACATTGATTCTTAACGATGGAGACCCAAAGGGGCGCAAGGCTGCGGTCAAGGTTAAGAACCACTTTGTGAAGCGACGACGTTGGGTAATGATCATGATCGACGACGACGACGACAATAGTAATGATGTGGAGACTTCATCCAGCAGTGGCTAGAACCTGGCACACGACGATGCCTCCTTCGCGCGAGGGTGGTGAGCGCCGAGAAGCCAGAAGAACCCTCCTCTACACCCCCCCCCCCTCCTCTACAACCCCCTCCCCCCTACAACACCCCCTTCGCGGCCCTCAAGCACGCCGACCCCCAAGGTGGCGAGCCGGCCATCGAGACCTTCACCGAGATGATCTCCCAGCTTGGCCGCCTCTCCCAGGCCAGCGTGCACGGTCTGCGAGCTGGACAGGGCTAGGGGCCCTCTCGCTCTCCCCTCGTCGGCTGTGGTCCACTGCTGCCACGCATCCATCCATCCCCAGGTGGTCCTCCACAGATTGTGGCAATCGAGACCTCTGGGTACCCAGTGCCACCGCCCTCCCAGAGAGAGCCTAAAAAACGCACGATCGGGTGGAGTCAAAATGCGACAGAAGTTCGCCATACATGCATTGACAGCGATGTCCTCCTGCTTAAATGAGCATTAAGGCATTTGGTGCTCATCGCCTCTATATCTGTATACAGCCCTTGATCTAATGGTAGAAATTCCACATTTATATGGCGGGGCAAGTCTAACCATATGACAGCCACTATGATGAAATGCATTGTTAATCACGTGACAACGTCATCAATTGTCTGTGTCGGGTGGAGGAGGGCTTACGACACAACATTTGACTTGGGCAGCGATCTCGTCCAAGACGCGATTATGAACCGAACAAAATGCGCACACGGTCTCTGACGTTGGGCAAGCCATCGCTATGCTGCAAGATGGACCTCTAAATCACTCACTCGGGCTCACACCAACAGCCGCAGTAGCAGTGGCGGCAGATCGCCCCCTACAGCGAGAACGTTGCAGGGCCCTCCCGACGAAAGAGGTGACACTCAGAGAAGCGTTCTTTGGCGAAATCAACAGTTATAATAATAATTGTAAAAAAAAAATTCGTGCAGCGAAACCTCAGAAATCGTGCCGAGCAGCACGCGGCACGACCGATGGCAAGGTCTGTAGAAAAATAAAATCTGGCCAGATTGCCAAGCAAATGTTTGTTTTGATAAAACACACAAACCTAATGCCGCGGTTTGTGTGATCGCTTTAAAAAAAATCACCCGAGGCTCGCTTAATCCGTCTCGTGATGGAAATGAAGCCCCATTCAAATCGTGGTTTTGACGTCGATGTTGATCTCTCACGCAGACAAACACGTGAGTGCGTGGAGACGAAGACCCCCCCGTATAGCCTCTAACAGAAGGTTGGGGAAAGTTCTGTTCGCAGACACGGCACACGAGGGTGGGTGGCCAGCACCACGCACGGCTGCCTTTGTCTCCCCAGTGGCGATGTTTACGCACCGCACCAGGTACTCATTTGAGGCAGAGTCGACCTAGGGGAGGCCCAGGACAGGTTCCAATAAAAATCGGCACTGGTGGTCCGTGAGCGGGAATCGAACTCGGGTATCTTACCTTTGCCGGCTCCGTGTCTCCCTGACATTATCAACCGGCATTCGGCTATCCCCGGCCACCTTCATTTTTTAATAGAACTGCTTTTGTGCGTTAAGTTTTCTTGTCCTTCCCCGCACCTCTGATAAGCAAGATTGAATGCGTACGGTGCGAAAAAAAGGTTAAACATACATCATCAGGTATGTAAAATAATAATAGTAGGCGTTTCACCCTTTCTCGCAATGCAACAGGAGGTGTTCAGGTGCTCCAACACCAAATCGATACTTTAGCACGGAATCAAGCCTAGCATTCGCCACGCATGGTGCTTGTGATGAAAATGTTAAATACGCATGCTCTGATAATATATGAATCGTCTTTGAAAACGATTGGCCTACACCAGAAATGTCTTCATGGCCTCGTCTCACTTGCAGTGTCCGCCCAAAAAAACAACACCAAACGGCAAAGAGTACAAGGGCAATGACACGTGCATGAGAGCATCTATAGGTCGGGGTGAGCAGCTCTAGCATGGGATACCTTTTTTCGAACGTCATTTGTCGAACATCTTAACACCTCCCGTGTTATTCCTAGCAAGGGTAAACATTCGGATCTTTCATTCTTTGATACTGGCAACAACAACCAAGATCACCCGTGATGTGTGACACGACATCACGTTGCCACACGGGCAGGAGACATCGGCCGTCGGTGGCGCAGTGCGACTGGCGGCCGATAGGCGGCGCCCAGGGCACGGGAGTCGTGGCACCGGTCCAGAGATCACTCGGCAGCCGCCATGTCCGGCGGTGACCCCAAGTCAATGGAACTGCGCACTGCTCAAAACCACTGCGCCACCGCGCCCCCAGACGCTCGAGGAACAGATTGTTGAGGCAGGTGCTGTTAGCGAGCGCCTATGAAAGCCGGCAGGGCAAACGAAGGGGTGGGTGGCCAGCACCACGCCCGGCCGCCTTTGTCTCCCCAGTGTCGATGTTTCCACACCGAACCAGGTACTCATTTGAGGCCGAGTCGACCTCGGGGAAGCCCCGACCGGTTCAGATAATTGCCACTGGTGTTGGCCGTGAGCGGGAATTGAACTCGGGACGCCGGGTTCGTAGCGCAGCAAGCCAACCACTACACTACCGCTCAAAACAAACACACGTACTCCATCCACAGTTGGCGAATGTTTCGGGCGATGGCCCTTCTTTACAGCAACAGGGCACAGACAAGGTGAAGAGGGAGACGGGACATGCAGAGAAACAGACACAGAGGTATAGCAGAGAGACAGACAGACTGACAGGCAAAGCAACAGGCAGGCAGAGAGGTGTAGATGCCACCGATTGTCGGCAGCTCCACGTGCCCTTCATCTCTCCACACAGCCGCCAGTCCGACCATCCATCCATCCATTTCCTACTTCATTTATGAATCCGTCTGTTGGTTCGTTCATACACCTATGCATCCGTCTGTCTAGGGATTTACACACACATCCAGCCATCCACCCACCCACCAAGCCCTCCACACATTCAGCCATCCACCCACCCACCCATTTGCACAAATGTAGTGTACTAATTCAGAGACACTCATAGAAGGCATTATCCCTCTTGTTTATTCCGGATCTCACAGCCATAAGGGATAACTCCATACCGGGTCGGGACAGCCAACATGCTTCCAGACCCACAGCTTGAAGAGGCGCCGACCACGACGCCAGAAGCATGACAAGTTCCACTCCCGATGACAGCAGCCCCGGCTGTGAGTCGGAGCTCGTCTTTTATCCTCCCCAGCGTGGCCAGGCTTCGCCCTCGGACACGCCCCCTTCTGGATCCCCCAGAAGGCTCCGGGCTTGGCCCACGGGTCCAACTGGTAGAACGGGCTGCTACCCCCAATTCCATTGTCTACCAGTCCCCAGCGCTACGCACCCCAGTGACTCATTCAATGTCACTGCAAATACATTCATTTTAGCGGCCCACCCAATTAACTACCCATCCACTTATTCACTCACCCATCCACCCACTGTGACAATCCACCCACTCACCCATGTACGCATCCACTCATCCACGAACCAACCCAGCAACCCTGACATGCTGTCTACCCATTCTTCACTTCCTCCCTACATTGGTCCTGCACAGTACCACTGCACCGTGGATAGAGGATCGACATATCGACTCACCCATCCATCCACCTATTCACATATTCTAACACAATTTCATTCACCCATCTATACACACATCCACCCATCCATCATCCCACCAAATCAACCACATATGCATCCACCCGCCAATCCGTCCACCCATACGCTCATAATCAACGCATCCGTCCACTCACCCACCTACACACCCATTCACAAATATATGCATCCATCCATCCAGCCATCCACTCACCCTCTTATAGTCTACTCATTCCATCAATGATCCATCTACCAATTAATCCACTAATTCATCCATTCACCCATCCACCCACACTCTCACCAATCTATGCATCCATCCAGCCATCCACTCGCCCGCCCGTCCACTCGTCCTGCCATACCTTCCAAAAACCCACCCACCCACCTACCCTGTCATCTACCCACGCACCCCAAACCCCACCCCACCCATCCCTCCCACCCCTCCCTCGACCGACCCTTGGCTCCGTTCCGCACACGCGCACTGCTCTCTCATCCCCCCCTGGGCTATCAACATCTGGGGGCGGCGCGCGAGCAGTCAGTCGCGTTGCACGAGGCGCGAGCGAGACTCGGGGCTTCCTGCGAGCGCCGCCACTCAGGTGAGTCCGAGGAATCGGATCAAGCCTCCAACCACACAGAGAGCGAGTGCTCATTACGCAACGGTCTATTGTCTCGTTGTCAGCATTTGAATCCGCACTGAGACCGGAGGAATCAGATGAGCTGTGAAGCTCTTTCTTTCGCAAGATATTCCGTAGGGGCGGGTCAGCGATTTGCTCGTCCACGCTGGCACAGACGTCTTGGATAATAGGCGGCGGCAGCAGCGGCACTTTACCTCCACCGCAACACGACCTGCTGATCCGCTCACCGCGGTCTACCCATTCGTACCGTCAGCTGTGGGCTGGACAGAGGCGGCGGCGGAGGAGGATTAAGAAGCTGTCCCGAATGAATTCACCGTCGCGCAGGGAAGTCGAATCGGCAACTTGTGGATTGCAAAGGCATCCTGATATCCATCACACCGGGGCAGCGTCCCGTGCACATGCAGCTCGTGTTGCATTGTCGCTGCATGCAAAACTGTGGGTCTCCGTGCGAGTCTCTGTTCGTTCATGATGCGAGTCTATGCGAGTCTGTGGTGCTCGCCGTGACCCAATGGGTGTTCATGTGAGACGATGGGCCTCTATGTGAGTATATAGGTCTCTTTGTGAGTCTATGGGTCTTTGTGTGAGTGCTGGTCTCTTTGCGAGTGTGTATGAGTCTATGGGTCTCTGTGTGAGTATAGTGGTCTCTTTGGGAGTGTGTGAGTCTATGGGTCCCTGTGTGAGTGTGCTGGTCTCTATGGGAGTGTGTGTGAGTCTATGTGTCTCTGTGTGAGTGTTGGTCTCTTTGGGAGTGTGTGAGTCTATGGGTCTCTTTGTGAGTCTATGGGTCTCTTTGGGAGTGTGTACGAGTCTATGGATATCCGTCTCAGTTTGTGTGATTCGCGTAGCTGGAGAAATCTGGGGACATCAGCGCAGAGTGATGTCTCTGGGTTCAGCAGTGAGGACATTGCGGAATGATTGTGCAGTCTCGGAAATATGATTGGACAATCTATGGTCGACATTAAACTCATTAGTTCATTAGTTCAGCACCAACTACAGACCTCCACATTGGTGTCGAGCTCCTGAACGACATCGCTGCTGCTGCCATTGTGCGTAAGAACATCGTGGCATTTTTTAATCGAGTAACGCCTCGATGATAGCCAGGAGGGTCCTGCTACATGTGGGATGTTTCGAAACGAGGGCGGCAATTTGGCGTCTCCGTGTGGGAGGAGGGCAGAGAGCCGGAGACAACCCAGGGGTTGTCGAGGGGATTGGAACACTCGAAAGCACTGAAAGCTCCGCTGCAGACACAAGTTGGAGACACGGGAGAGACACGGGAGAGACACGGGAGAGACACGGGAGAGACACGGGAGAGACACGGGAGAGACACGCGCTATTTGGTGACGCTGCTGCTGCTGGCAGTGGTGCACAAGCACAGCCAATACGAACCACTCGGCACATTCGTCAACAACAACAACACGCGTGCCATAAACCAAAGACAAACATACTTATTATGATGACGACGTTTCGGGTAGTGGCCTCCTCCTTTATGGGGCGCGGTGGTGTAGTGGTTAGCGCGCTGCGCTACAAACCTGGGGACCCGAGTTCGATTCCCGTTCACGGCCAACAACAGTGACGATTATTTGAACCGGTCCTGGGCCTCCCCTAGGTCGACTCAGCCTTAAACTAGTACCTGGTGCGATGTGTAAACATCGCCACTGGAGAGACAAATGCGGTCGGGCGTGGTGCTGGCCACCCACCCCCTCGCGTACCGTTCCGGCCTTCATAGGTGCTCGCTAACAGCACTTGCCCCTACAGTCTGTCAAACTTTCCGGGGGACCTTTGTCTGTGTATGCTGAACTTCTTTATCGCTCCGCGCTCATCGAAAGGCGCTGGGCAGGGGTGGGTCGGCGGACGGTTCCAGCCGGGTGCCCTTGCAGAGTCCCTCGTGTCAATATCCACTGCTGGATGAGGGCATCTGCACGTCGCCGTGGTGCTGCCGGTGGTGGTGAGGGTAGATAGGTAGGGGGGGTGGTATTTGTATCCATACTTCACCACGCTGGTCAGTGCGGGTTGCGTTCCGGATGATGTGCGCACGGACTATCGGTGTACAGTGCAGGCCACTGCCGCTCATCCTTCGTAGAATATTAACTGTAACGTTGCTCAATGCCCTGTACGGTACTTTGAACCCGCTGCAGTCTGCGCTCCTTCAACGTCGGTGGGGGAACGGCGACACGACGCGAACTCTCCGCCTCTGCCTCCGTCTTGGCCACCAGCAGCAGGACCTCGACACTGGCATCGAGCCCCTGAACCACAGCGCCGCCGCCGCCGCCGCTGCCTCCACTCGCGAGAAGCGCATTGAAGATCTGACAAAATATCCCAACGTAACAGGACTTCCTTTATCACCGTATTCTCTCGATTCTAACACGCACTCGTTTTCCCTGTGTTCAGGGGGGACGGGTGCGTCTTACAATCCGTGCGCGTATTACAATGCGGGCGTGCGTGCGCGCGCGTGTGGCCACGCTACTGACAGGGGCCACGAGTCGAGGCTGAGTGTAACTTTCCGGAGCGACTTGTGCTACAGGGAACACGATTTGTACAAATGCCCGGGCGCTTGTAATAATAATTATATCCGGATTATATGGCACGGGTTTAGGATTGATAGATAATGGGGGTGGGTAGGTTTGTGTTCACGGTACGAGTGTGCCCGTGTGTTAATGTAAATCTACGGGGAGTGGTGGCGTAGCGGTTAGCGCTGCGCTACGAACCCGGCGGCCCGAGTTCGATTCCGACTCACGGTCACCAACACCGGTGACGATTATCTGAACCGGTCCTGGGCCTCCCCTAGGTCGACTCCGCCTCAAAATGAGTACTGCACCTGGTATGGTGTGTAAACATCGCCACGAGGGAGACAAAGGCGGCCGGGCTGGTGCTAACCACACCGCCCCCTCGTGTGCTTTCATGGCCTTCATAAGACGCTCGCTGACAACACTTGCCCCAACAGTCTGCGAATCCAATACGGGGAATCTTTGTCTTTGTGCGTCGGCGAACCAACAATGGTCACTGACACACAGCGCGTAAACCTGTCGATAGTGGCTGCCGGTATCACGTGATCCCAATGCAAAGGTGCGTCCCTGCAAGCGCTCGCTCTCCACTGCTGGCGGAGGGGGCCTCCACTGGAGGGAGCTGTAAGAGAGCCCGTCTAGAGGAGGGGTACGCGTTGGCCTACTCTTCCACGCTGGTCAAACCGTCTGGGAAGAGTTGGGAATACCCACACTTTACCCCACCACACGCGGCCTGCCGATCGATCATCTGATGTGGTAGAGTAATGGGTGGATAGAATCGACGCGCAGTGCGTCCAACCATTGCAACCACAACAGCATGCAACACGTGTTAATCAACATGTCCGCTCCCCACGTAAACTATTTTAATTTCACCACGTAAGTCCCACTCGGCTATGTAACTCTTTTCTCAGAAGCCACCTGACCACAATGTGTAGCTTCACGGAAGGGCTCATCACGTGGAGATGTATTGCAGCTAATCACTCTTAACGCATGGCATCGATTCTAAATGTGGAATCAACGTTAAAAAAAATCCACGCGACCACGTGGAGAGAGAGACACGCAAACTCCAAATATACAGCAGGCGTCAGGGTCGGGATCGAACCCACGACCTCCTGTAGGCCACGCGATGTATTTAACATCTCGCTACCGTGCGCCCCACATATATATAGATCGTTAACAGATATATCGCGTTATCGTGAGGAGTCTTTAAGAATCGATGGCGATCGATGACAACAGCCCCCCCCCCCTGCCACGCAGGATGGATGAGGAAGAATTTCGCCGATGTGGCAAGGAGATGGTGGACTACATCGCGGACTACCTGTCCACCATACGGACCCGCCCAGTCTACCCGGACGTGCTGCCGGGCTACCTGAGGCCCATGATACCGGCGGAACCCCCTCGGACCCCCGAGACCTTCCGAGACGTGATGGAGGACGTGGAGAGAGTCATCATGCCCGGCGTGAGTAATCCCGGCAGGCTCAACCGCGTCGCATGGTCAAGCTTGCAGGAGGAATCCGATGAGCTATGAAGCTCTTTATCACAGATGTTCAGTAGCAAATGCAACAAATCAATGTTTGATCTCGCCAGGTAAAGCCCACTGAGCTATTAGCTGCTTTTCAGACGCGACCTGGCCACAAATCATAGCTCAACGAAGTGGCCCGTCCACGAACTGATCCACCGCCCCTCCACCCCGCACGAGGAGTCGCCTGGTCCGCTACAGATGCCGAGTCAGCCACAGATGATAACCACATAGAGCTGAGATGACAGCCACAGATGACTGAATAACCCACAAGTCTGAGTCAGCTACAGATGACGAGTAGTCCACAATGTTGAGTCAGCCCAGTTCAGCCGAAGGTCTTTGTTCGAGCCCTGGGTTTGGATGTTGATGTCAGGGAGTTCGCTGTTGCTGCGTTACAGACGCGGAAGCGACGCAGATGAATTTCTCTGTGTGAGATGATGATGATGGTCGTTTTTTTTAAATGATGATGGTGACAATGATGTGGCGGTAGCGATGATGGTGGTGGTGGTGTTGATGGTGTTACAAACATAGATGATGATGCTTGTGATGATGATTGCAGTAGTCAATGCTGATGATGACTATTCAATGATGAAAACATTCAAAACTGATGATGAGTAATCGACGAAGATGCTGATGATGATGATGACGAAGATGATGATGATGATGACGATGATGACGATGATGACGATGATGACGATGATGCCGATTATGACGATGATGATGACGAAGATGCTGATGATGATACTGATGATGATGACGATGATGACGACGATGATGTGCCCATGTGCAGGTCACCCACTGGAGTAGCCCTCACTTCCACGCCTATTTCCCGGGAGCCAACTCGTACCCTGCTCTCCTCGGCGACATGCTCTCCGGCGCCATCGGCTGCATCGGATTCTCCTGGGTACGTCGACGAGCTCCCACCCATACAAAGACAAAGGTCCCCCGTATAGTCCTTGCAGCCTGTGGGGGCAAGTGCTGTTAGCGAGCAACCACGAAGGCCGGCACGGCACACGAGGAGGTCGGTGATCAGCAGCACCACGCTCGGCCGCCTTTGTCTCCCCAGTGCTGATGATCACTACACCAGATCAGATACTCATTTGAGGCTGAGTCGACCTAGGGGGAATCCAACTGGGGTCGCCGGGTTCTTGGCGCAGCGGGCTAACCGCACTCTGTAGACGAGTCCACGACCACAGACGAGGCCGCCAACCCACTTGCTCTACTGCCGCGTGTGTGTGCGCGAGTCTGCGCGTGTGTAGGTAGCGGTAGCGTAGCGGTTAGCGCGCTGCGCTATGAACCCAGCGACGTGGGTTCGATTCCCGCTCACGGCCAGCACCAGTGACGATTTATCTGAACCGGTGCTGGGCCTCCCGTAGGTCGACTCAGCCTTAAACGAATACCTGGTGCGATGTGTAAACATCGCCACTGGGGAGACAAAGGCGACCGGGCGTGGTTCTGGCCACCCACCCCCTCGTATGCCGTTTCGGCCTCCATCGGTGCTACTCGCTAACAGCACTTGCCCCAACAGCCTATTAAGGCTACACGGAGGATTTTTGTCTCTGTCTATGTGCGCGTGTGTAAAAGTTTAATTCCTCTCAACCCCCCCCCCCTCTGGCCCCCACCCCCGGTCCTTGCCCCCCCCCCCCCCCCCAGGCCGCGAGCCCCGCGTGCACGGAGCTGGAGACGGTGATGCTGGACTGGCTGGCGCGGACTCTGCAGCTGCCCTCACACTTCCTGGCGTGCGGAGACAGCGGGGAGGGGGGCAGCGGTGGGGGAGTCATCCAGGTGAGGGGCGGGGGAGGGGGGGTTATCCAGGTGAGGGGCGGGGGTAGAGGGGGCAGCGGTGGGGGCGTCATCCAGGTGAGGGGAGGGGGAGGGGGTAGAGGGGGCAGCGGAGGGGGGGTCATCCAGGTGAGGGGCGGGGGAGGGGTAGAGGGGGGCGGGGCGGGGGGGGATCACCCACGTGGATGGGTTCAGAGTCTATTAAAGGCTATACGGGAACCTTTGTCTCTGTCTCTGAGGGCTCCAGGGTGGCGAGATGTTAATTACCTCGCCTGGTATGAAGGAGGTTGTGGGTTCATTGCCGACCCTGAACGCCTGCTATATATGTGTGTGTGTAGTTTGCACTGATCCCTGTGGTCTTTTTGGTGATTTTTTTTTACTCCAGGTCCTCCGGTTTCTGCCTTCACATTGAGAATCAACATCACGCTATAAACCACTTCGTTGAAATATCGTTCGTGATAGCCAGGTCGCCTTCTGATAAAGAGCTGCGTAGCTCAGTGGGGGCCTTACCTGGTTGCATAAAAACAGTGAAGTTGAGTTTGGTCTCTGTGTGTGCGCGACTGTGCAGGGCACGGCGAGCGAGGCGACGCTTGTGGCGATGCTGGCCGCGAGGAATCGCGCGATGAGACTGGGCCAGGACCCCCAGGGGAGCCCCGGGGAATCCGGCATCCTGGCCCGCCTGGTCGCCTACACCTCCGAGCAGGTGCCTTCGCGTGGCCCCAGTGAGGTCTTCTTCATCAACAAAGGGGTAGACCTTCTTATATGAAGAAGTTCTCAGCAGCACGTAGAGCATCATGCCGGACCCTGGTGTGAGGAATGAGATGGGACCCCCTGGGATCCCCCCCCCCCCCACCGCTTTCCTGTTGTCCAATTGTCCCCCCCCCCCACCACACTCCTATTCGTAGCCTGGGCCCTTCCTCCCGTGGGCCCGGTGCAGTTGCACCGCCTGCGCGCTCGTTAGCACCACCAAAGCAGAAGGGAGCCGTGCATGCCGGGAAGTGCGCCGGACGAGAGGCGCAACGAGGAGCACGTGGCCGAGAGAACGAACACGTGGCCGAGAGAACGAACACGTGGCCGAGAGAGCGAACACGCGTTCGATCCCATTAACCCGACTCTCGCTGGGAGAGATGATGATGATGATGGCCGATGATCGAGACTAAAATGATGGTATTTGGCAGACTACTCGTGACGGAGGGAACTTGCTAACCAAGAGGACGTGCGTCGTGGAGACGGAGCCGTAAATTGATCTCGTGCGCGAGGGCTACGTTGGCCGAATCCGTGTGCTGCTATCGCGAGGCGCTGCTTGGGGAGGCCTTCATCGAGCCGTGGCTTGCCCCGTGCCCGATGGTGACGATGGGCCGATTGTGCCACTGCGGGCGTGAGGCCCTCGTCCAGCAGTGGATTGACCGCTCCCGCGTGCCCCCCTGCAGGCCCACTCGTCGGTGGAGCGCGCCGCGATGTTTGCGGCGGTGCGGATCCGCAAGCTGCCCACGGACGGGCGCTGCTCGCTCCGCGGGGACGCCCTCAGCGGCGCCGTGGCCACGGACCGTGCCGCGGGCCTCGTCCCCTTCTTCGTGAGTTCCTCGCTCTCTCGCGCCCTCGCTCTCTTTCTCTCTCTCGCTCTCTCTCTCGCTCGCTGTCTCGCGTTGTTTGCTGGTGACTTTGTGTATTTCATATCGGAATCGCCTCCAGTGCTGTTGCTGCTGGCGGCAATAAAAGTGGTTTCAAAGTCTCTTGCTCGCTCTTGCTGTACTTGCTCCGGCAGTACATTGGGACGCAACAGAGAGGATTAGCAGGGCCCCTGCGCAAGGATGACACGCAGCTCGCTCGCTCCCCGCGACTCCTTCTCGCCCGTACCGTTCTCCCTTAGCCCGAACGTTAACTACCTCGCCTGGTATGCGAGGCAGTTGCCGATCATGACTGCCTGCTGAATATTTAGAGTTTGCGTCTCCCTCTCTCCCCGTGGTCGCGTGGATTGTTCTCCAGGTGCCTCCGATTTTCCCCTCCACATTTCAAATCAACTTCACGCGTTTATATTATTTGGCTGATGCTGCAATACATGTCCACGTGGTGATGATGATTATGATGATATCAGCCCCTTCGTTGAGCTATCATTTGTGTTAGCCAGGTCGCTTATGAAAAATATAGTTAGATAGCTCTGTGGGGCCTTACCTGGTAAATAAAAACTGTACTGTGTTCGTGACGCTACCCGCCCCCCCACCCTCCTATCAGCGGTGGGTCGAGCGGCTGCTTGTAAAGGAGACGTTCACAGGACGCGCTATCACGGCGACAGCAGCAGCAGCATCTCCTCGGCGCGCTCGCCTAGCTGCGAGCTAACAGCTGAGAGGAGCGTTGAGATGTCGCGTTTTGAATATGGAGAGAGCGGCAGAGACGACTCTGTTGTCCCCGAGTTGCTTCGGAAGCAGCGAGTCCCTTCCAGACGGTGTCTGGGTGCAGCTACCGAGAGAGCACTTGATGAATCGTCATGATGATGATGAATCGTCATGATGATGATGAATCGTCATGATGATGATGAATCGTCATGATGATGGTCATGATGATGATGACGGTCATGATGATGATGGTGGCGGTCATGATGATGATGGTGGCAGTTATGATGATGGTGGCGGTCATGATGATGATGATGGTCATGATTATGATGATGGTCATAGTGGTGATGGTCATGATGATGATGATGGCCATCATGATGATGGTGGTGGCCATTATGATGATGATGATGGTGGCCATGATGATGATGGTGGTGGCCATGATGATGGTGATGATGATGGTGATGATGATGATGATGGCCATGATGATGGTGATGATGATGGCCATGATGATGATGGTGATGATGATGGCCATGGTAATTAGAGACAATCTGAGCAGTGCTGCCATCTGCACACGCTGCGCACGTGGCCGCTAAACGGATCTGGGTGGGTCCGATGTCCGTTGTGTTTGCCTCGTAACCTCGTTAGGCGCAACACAGGCCCCTTGCTGTGACTCACACACGATGTGTCTGTGCGCATTTAGATAAGCTGCTGTTGATGATGTTTCTGTTATTGCTGCTGCTACCAATGAGACTCGCCAACTGCTGCTGATGATGGAGCATGGGTGGAGTGGTAGTGCAGTGGTTAGCACACTGCGTTATGAACCCCATCGATCTTACTTTCATTATTCCTCAGCCACGGCAAGATGTCAGTGGCAAGTCATATCTGAACCCGTACCCCCCTCACCACCCCCTCACCCTCGCCCACCCTCAATAACCTACAAGGACACAGTGACTAGCATGTTGAAGTATGGCTAAACAATGACCCGCAACCTTCACGGCGTGGAGAGGCCTTCATCCAGCGGTTGGATGGCCACGAGGGGCGTGAAGGGAGGCGGTGGCCTGCAGGGCGCGTGTCGGCGCAGGGTGAAGCCATGGGAATAGCTCCCGAGTGCGCAGGCGGTGCGACTGCGCTGTGGTTCAGTGGCCGAAGGGGCTCAGGCGCCGGGCTACAGGAAGAGGAGTGGAAGCATTGAACAGAGTGAAGGGGGCGTCCCATTGGCGAGATGTTAACCACCTCGCCTGGTGTACAGGAGGCCTTGGGTTCGATCCCGACCCTGACGCCTGCTGTCTATTTGGAGTTTGCGGTGTCTCTCTCTCTCTCCACGTTGTCGCGTGGATTTTTCGCCGGGTCCTCCGGTTTTTCCTTCCACATTTTGAATCGACATGGCGCGTTTAGAGTATTTCGCTGCTACACATTTCCACGTGATAAGCCACTACATTGGGCTACCATTTGTGGCGAGGTCACTTCTGAAAGAAAAAATAGCTTAAAATCCTTGCACCAGGGCCCGTGACAACGACACCACGGAGACCCACGTGGGCGAACACGGAGAGCCAGCGGCCTTGGCTATGGGGTGTGCAGGCGGTGCAACTGCGCGGGCGACCATTGCCAATCACGCGACGTCACTTGTTGAGAGGCCACTGAGAGACGGCGCGTGGGGGGTCTCGACGAGACGGCGGTGGCGAGAGACGCGAGCGAGGCCCCGTGTTGACACAGGGAGGAACAAAGGGGCCTGCACCTGCCTCCTCGACTGTGGTGGTTGTGTGCGCGCGTGTGCGCGCGCGTGCGTGTGTGCGTGCGTGCGTGCGCGTGTGTGTCTGTATTTGTGTGCACGTGTGCGCGCGTGTGTGTGCGTGCGTCTGTATTTGTGTGCACGTGTGCGTGCGCGTGTGTGTGCGTGCGCGCGTGTGCGCGTGCATGCGTGCGTGCGCGTGTGTGTCTGTATTTGTGTGCACGTGTGCGCGCGTGTGTGTGCGTGCGTCTGTATTTGTGTGCACGTGTGCGTGTGTGTGCGTGCGCGTGTGTGTACATGCGCGTGTGTGTGTGCATAGGGGCCATTATTTATGGGGTCCCGGCGTTCTCTCTCTATCTGCCTCTGCGTGTTTGTTTGCGTGCGGGTTGTCTCTCCGTGTATATATGGGAAGCGGTGGTGGCAGTGGTGCCCCGAGTTCAATTCCCGCTCACAACCACCGGTGACAAGTATCTATGAGCCGGTCATGAGCCTTCCCTAGGTTGACTCAGCCTTAAATGAGTACCTGGTGTAGATATTAAAAACATCGCCACAAGGGGATACAAAGGCGGGTTGGCGTGGTCCTGACCACACCCCCCCCTCGTGCGCCGGTCCGACCTTCATAGTTGCTTCTCGCTAACAGCACTTGCCCCGACAGTCTGTTAAAGGCTATACGGGGGTCTTAGTACATGCGTATAATATCTATGTGTCTGTATCGGTACTAATTTAAGGCTAAGTCGACCTAGGGGAGGCTCGGATATTTTGACCAGTTCAAATATTCATCGCTTACGTTCGCCGTGGCCGGGAATCGCAACTCGGATGGCCGGGTTCTTACCGGAGCGTGCTAACCATCGCGCCACGGCTCTCCACTTAAGAAAAAATACACAGATTCCCCGTGTAGCCTTAACAGACTGTAGGGGCAAGTGATTTTAGCAAGTAGCACCTTCGAAGGCCGGGACGGCACGCGAGGGGGTGGGTGACCAACACCACGTCCGACCGCCTTTGTCTCCCCAGTGACGATGTTTACACACCGCACCAGATACTCATTTGAGGCTGAGTCGACCTAGGGAAGGCCCAGGACCGGTTCAAATAATTGTCGCCGGTGTTGGTGGCCGTGAGCGGGAACCGAACTGGGGTCGCTGGTTTGGTAGCATAACGCACAGACCGCCACACCACCGCACACACACACAGAGAAGGGGATGTCACAACGAGAATGGCTAACAGCTAACAACCTAAACAACGCATCTAAATATAAGAAGAGGCTTTTACCCGTTCTGGCAATGAAACAGGAGCTGCGTTAAGATGTTCAAACACCAAATAGAAACCTTTTGCAAGGAATCGAGCCTGCAACAACCACACACATGACTTGTGGTGAACATGCAAACAAAAAACATGCTCTGATCATTAAATACGGCGTGGTCTTTGAAACGAATTGGTCTAAACCAGAGACAGTCGTCTTTAGGACCGAGTGTCAGCCCAGAGAACGCCAAAATGTTTCTATTCGGTGTCTGAACATCTTACCACCTGTTTTATTCCCAGAAATGGTAAAACACATCATCTGCTTTTTTCACGCTTTGATACTGGCACCCAAAAATATTAAAAAGCTCCCAAACTTAACAACCTTTCCACAATCCGCAAGGGTGAACGACCTACTTGCTGCACCGCGCGGCGATCTGCCGTTGCGGGCCTGACCTCGGCCACAACAAGTGTGGCATTCGTCGATTGGCTCGGGGGACGACTTCGCGTCCTGCAACTTGCCGGCCCAGTAATTGTCATCGCCGTCGCTCCGGGCAACGCTTTAATGCGATTGGGACGAAGATGAGGAGGCGATTTGCGGCACGAGCTGGGATTGAGGCTCTGGGTGCTGGCGTATCGTCGCTGCTATCCCAGACCACCCCGTGCTGTTCACGCTAATTATACTTATTAGCGGGTGCAGGAGCAGCCGGGGAAATTGCATCGCTCGCGTTCACTGCTGGCTGAAGGGCGCGCCCGTAACATCATCATCACCATCATCACCATCATCACCGTCTTCACCGTGGTCCTAGACACGTGTCGTTCTCTCTCTACCCTCTGTTCACGCTGTAGGCGAGAGACGTCTTGGAAGACGTTGGGAGAACTCACATTGTACCCCACGGCAGGTGACTTGCTGATCGAACGAGAACCATGGGGGGGGGGGGGGACCCTATTTAGGGCGGCGTGGTGGCGAGGAGGCGTTCTCTCTCTCGCCTGGCACGCAGGATGCGTGGGTTCGATCCCGGACCCTGACGATGTGTGCTGTTGTTTATTTGCGGTCCGCTTATTCACTCTCTTTCTCTCTCTCCGCGGTGGTCGCATCGTGGGCTGTTCTCCGGATTCCACCGGGGTTTGCCCCCCCCCCCCTCTCTACATTTAAAAACAATAAGCTCCTGCTATAAACTCCCACGCGTTGTGGTGGTGGGGGTGTGGTGGTGGTGGTGGTGGGGTGGTGGTGGTGTGGTGGTGATGGTGGTGGTGGTGGTGATGGTGATGATGGTGGTGGTGGTGGTGATGGTGGGTGGTGGTGGTGGTGATGATGGTGGTGTGGTGGTGGTGATGGTGGTGGTGGTGGTGGTGGTGATGGTGGTGGTGGTGGTGGTGGTGATGGTGGTGGTGGTGGTGGTGATGGTGGTGGTGGTGGTGATGGTGGTGGTGGGGGTGGTGGTGGTGGTGGTGATGGTGGTGGTGGTGGTGGTGATGGTGGTGGTGATGGTGGTGGTGGTGGTGGTGATGATGGTGGTGGTGGTGGTGGTGATGATGGTCTGACGATCTATCATCACGCGCGACCACGTCGCCCCGAACAAAAGCGCTCACATCTCAGTGGGCTTTAGCTCTTTAAATAAAATAGCGTATTTTATTTTATGTTAACCTCTGAGTGGATAGAGGGCGGGGGTGATGGAATCAAACCGGTGACCTCCAGATTGCAAGTTCGGCAGTGCTGTTGATCACGACACCGCTGACGTCCCTGTCTCAGCTGCAGAGATCTCGTGCGTTCGGTTGTCATTGCTTGAGACAATAAGTGCGGCGAACCGGTAACCGTTTGTTTTACCAGGTTTTTGTTCATTCCTTTACCGGTATCGTAACAAAAATATATCGAAATGTTTTAACACAGCCCCTACTGACCATTACACCACACCACGGCAGCTTTCCTGCACAATTATTACTATTAATACGTTAATAATCGTACGCAATTTTTTTTATAAATAATCAATCGCTTCATAACGTACAAGTACAAAATTATAATGACAATAGAGCGAGAGAGAAAGAGCGACAGATGAAAGCTGAGTGTGAGGGGTTAGCCGCTGCGTGGATGTGTGCGGTGAATAGCAGCGGGTTTGAGATGCAGAATGGAGCGAGCTGATTGGATGGGAGATAAGACTTGGGGTTTGTATTAGGCTGCAGTAAAAGAAAAACACACACACGTACACGTGCATTAACACACGTGCATGCACACGCACACGTACATGAACGCACACGTGTGTATGAACACACAGACAGACACATGCATGCCAAAGACAAAGATCCCCCGTATAGCCTGAACAGACTGTAGGGGCAAGTGCTGTTAGCGTGCACACACACATACTCTCATCACACAGACACACACTCTCATCATACACACACTCTCACCACCCTCTCATCACACACACTCTCATCACACACACACACACTCTCATCACACACACACACTCTCATCATACACACTCTCACACACACTCATCTCACAAACACACTCACACACACACTCTCATCTCACGCACACACACTCTCTCTCCAGACACACAATACCCAGGAAATGAGATGTCTTCCTACCACCTACACCACACACACCAACAGTTTTCTTGCAATATTTTTCAAAATAATATTTCGCTATTGTCCTTGTATATAAACAATTTGTTCACACGTTTGACTTGATTCGTTGAAATTTTAATCCCATATCCCCTATACATACATATATAACATATTATTCTCCGTTCCATGATTGGATAAAATTGTACGTCATATACTTACTAAATATGTAGATATATATAAATATATATATAAATACACAGCATTTGCTTCTGAGGCAAGGGTTGGTGGATCACGTGGAGATGTATGAGTCTCTCGAACACCGCTTGCGCTGCGAGGTTGCAGTACAGCAAGTGGGTTCATTTAACCTCTCTATGCAGCCTTCAAAATAAATACACAGCAAGTCCTCGTTTAGCGCGATAGATGCGTTCCTGAAAAGTGCCGCGTTATGCGAAGATAATTCACCCATACATTCTGTAACATTGTTGGAATACGCACGCCACGCAGTGAGATAGCGGGACAAATAACTGAGGGTACGTCGCCGCGTTACCGTATCACTCCGCTCGGCTGTGCAGTTCAAGAAAGTAGTCCGTCGTCGACCGCTCAGAAACCGCGTTATAACGAGCGCGTTCCGCGTTATAGCGGCATCAATGAGGCGCACAATGGCAGCGACAGCGACGTGGTTCAGGAGCTCGATGCGAATGTGGAGGTCTTGCTGCTGTTCGCCACGACGAGAGGACTTCAGCAGAGAGAGAGAGAGAGGGAGTTCGCGTCGTGTCGCTGTTCCTCCTCCACTTCTGTTGAAGGAGCGCAGACCGCAGTGGGTTCATTGAGCAAAAATGGCATTGGGATTCCAGCATTCACTTGAATTATGTAATGTACAATGATGGCAATCATCATCATCATCAGCATCATCATCATCATCATTTAGAGCCCTTTGTCATTCACTGATGGTTGATGGAGGCCTCCCCACGCCATGTCGACTATCGGGAGGTTTTGTTCACCATATTAACCATACTTCACCACGCTGGCCAACACGGGTTGGTGACGAGGAGACCCAGGACCGGTGTGTGCGTGTGTGTGTGTGCGTGTGTGCGTGTGTGTGCGTGTGTGTGTGTGCGTGTGTGTGTGTGTGTGTGCGTGTGCGTGTGTGTGTGTGCGTGTGTGTGTGTGCGTGTGTGTGTGTGCGTGTGTGTGTGTGCGTGTGTGCGTGTGCGCGTGTGTGCGTGTGTGTGTGCGCGCAAGTGGTAGGGTAGCGGTCAGTGCGCTGCGCTGCGAACCCAGCCACTCGAGTTCCCGATGACGGCCAACGTGTGTGACGATTATCTGAACCGGTCCTGGGCGAACCCTAGGTCGACTCAGCCTGAAATGAGTGCTGTACGTAGTGCCATCGGTACACATCGCCACCAGGAAGACAGGCGGCAGGGCGTGGTGCTGTCAAATCACCCCTCGTGTGCCGTTCGGGCCTTAATAGATGCTCGCTTACAGCCCATTAAGGCGATACGGAGAGGGGGAGCCTTTGTCTGTGTACGTGGAGTTTCCACGTGACGTAGCTCGCGCTGATTCATCATTCGATACACATCTGGTGTGTCTGCGCGTGTGTTCAACGTGACGCAGAAAGCAGTGATTGTGATTAAGATAGACATCGTGCGTGTGTGTGCTTGCGTGTGTGTCCTTTGGAGGTGTCTATTAGTCAGTGGAAGTAGCCAGGTACCTCAGAGGTCATGAAACTGAGCCGGAATCGCTGAGAGGCGATGTTTGAATGCAGGTTTCTGCCGCGGCCTTCCTGTGGCTAAGCCGATTTCTCAAGGTGCAAGTGAGTTTATGGTCTAAGTCCGGTCACCAATGGCTGACCTAACAAACAAAAAAACAACAATCACAATCATGTTCGTGCTGCCTTAATTCGGATAAATTCCAACTCTGAGAATTCCCCCAAAATATCGGTGTCACTGTCATGAGACGGAGAGGAACGCTCCGTAACAGGATGGGTGGAACAGGGGTCACGTCGAGGGACGCGCCTCAGACGTAGCTCTACGAAGTCCGCTTCCGGGGGCCCTCCTCCGCTGAATTGGATCCTGAGTCCCGTGACGTGAAACCGAGAGCACAATCTGAATTTTAAAAAATTCCTAATACTACAACATATATTTTACAAATATTAATATTTAAATTAAGAGTAAAGAGCTCATTTGCAAATCATCAGGCGCGTTCAGCGTGTCGGGATGTTGTTCACATGTGAACGGGTGAGATTGGTGAGCTGCGTGGGGGGAGGGCTGGAGCCCACGAGGACTCGAGTCGGGGAGCCGCGCGTGACGCTGTGTCCCCCCCACCCACGCACCCCCCCTACCCCCCCTACCCACGCACCTCCCCACCCACGCACCCCCCCCAACCCACGCCCCCCCCCCCACGCACCCCGCCCCCCAACCCACCCCCCACGCAGCTGTGCGCCACTCTGGCACCAACGCCCTCCTGCGCCTTTGACAGCATCATGGAGCTGGGACCCGTGTGTGAGTTTCTCCAACACGACCCACACACACATAGACACACACACACTAGCCCTGACCCTAGCCCTGCTCCTAGCCCTGTCACTAGCCCTGACCCTAGCCCTGACCCTATCCCTGTCACGAGCCTTAGTTCTGATCACCCCCAGCTTAGACCTTTGACCAAATCCTACCTCTTGTCAAGTTCTGACTCTAGCCCATCACACGCGTCCGATCTTAGCCCTGACGCTCGCCCCGAGACCAGCACCGGCCCAGTACCCAGATCAGCCCCGACACGAGCAATGGCCCTGCCACTACGATACGAGCCGCAACTTCGCTTGCCCCTAGCTTAGTTCAGCCCTCGCTTAGACCTCCACTTAGACCCGAACCCTCGCCCAGTGCTGAGGCCTAACCTAAGCTTCTCTCTAGCTTAGACCATATTGATGACTCTAAATCATATCCGTAACCTTGCAACGATGCATGTATGAGGTTGTGTGCCTGTATATTTAAGTTATGGGGAGCGGTGGAGCAGTGGTGTTAGCGCAGTGGTTAGCGCCTTGCATTACAAAAGACGGCAACCTGAATTCGATTCCGCTCACGGTCAACATCGGTGACGAATATCTTCACCCCACGTGTGTCGTGGCGGTGCTCGTCAACAGCACTTGCCCTACCAGTGTGTCTGAGCTTTACGGGGAACCTTTGTCTTTGTGTGTGTCACGTGGGGCAGGTGAACGCGAGGGACTCTGGATGCACATCGACGCCGCGTACGCGGGCAGCGCCTTCATCTGCCCGAGTTCAGACCCCTCCTCAACGGAGTCGAGGTGAAGTTGACATTCTCACCCCTCACTCTCTCTCACTCACCATCTCTCTCGCCTCTACCACGCACCCTCTCTCTCCACTCACCATCTCTCTCTCTCCACTCACCCTCTCTCTCCACTCACCAATCTCTCTCACCACTCAACCCTCCACTCACCCTCCTCTCTCCACTCACCCTCTCTCTCGCCTCTCTCAACTCACCCCCTCTCTCTCTCTCGCTTGCTCGCTCTCTCGCTCCCTGCTCTCTCAAACTCGCCGTTGCACCACGTCACCTTCCCGGCAAATCCTTTCATCTCTCTGCCCTCCCCCTCTCTCTCTCTCTGCCCCCCCCTCTCTCTCTCCGAGTCGCTCTCTCTCTCTCTTCCTCTCTCATCTCTATCACGTCGTGGATCTCTGCTGCAGCTTTAAAAAACGAACCGTCCAATTTCTCGCTCTCCACCTGAGCGATGCTTTGAGCCCGGCTGCCGTTTATCTGGGTAGTGGTTGTTGTTGTTGCTGTTGCTGCTGCTGTTTACACAACCAATCGATAGCGCGATCAGACGGGAGCGCGCGTGGAGACACGTGGCGTGCCATGAGCGTGGAACACTTTTATTAGGGAGGTGTGGGAGGATGGATGGAGGTTTTCATATGTCCCGCCATATATGGAGTCTCACTTCAAGTGTCTCTCTCCTGTCGTGTCTCTGTGTGTGTGTCTGTACATCTTGCCGTGTTTGGAGTCTGTCTCGCTGTGCGCCTCTGTATCTCTCGCCTTGTCGCTCTCTGCAGATGTCTCTCTCTCTCTGCAGATGTCTCTCTCTCTGCAGATGTCTCTCTCTCTGTCTGTATGAGACATGGCGAGGATTATTGCCAAACGCGTCGAGTTTTCTCCATCATTGACAAGTGCCCCGTGTTCACCTCGCCAAAAACCCGCGCACAACACCAAAGACAAAGACTCCCCCATGTAGAGCCTCTTCACCAGACTTGTTAGGGCAAGTGCTGCTGGCGGGCGGGCAGCACCTACGATGAAGGGCAGCACCACGCCCCGCCACCTTCGTCTCCCTCGTTTGCGATGGTTACACACCGGCACCAGGTACTCGGTGGAGGCCGAGTCGAGCTACCAACCACCACCACCACTCCGGCCCGACAACCACAACGCAACAACCACAGCGACACGTGTGCTCTCCGCGCGCTGCTGATTGCCTTCTCTGGCGGAGCGGCGACCTCATTAAAGCCGCGCGCCTCCGAGTGGGGCGCGCGCACGCGGAGTGTCACGCCGCGATTGCCGCGATTGCCGCGATTGCCGCGTTCGCGCTCCGGTCACGTTTGTCCATCCCACCAGCCGCCCTCCTCCTCCTCCTCCGCCGCCTCCATTCCCAGAGAACAGCGCTCAAGTGGCAGCGCCTGAGGCAATTTGATATCTGCGCAGCAGGCCGGGAGGGCGGTAATTGAGACGGACGTGGTGGTCGTGATTGCTGTGGTGGTGGCGGTGCTGGTGCTGGCAGTGGTAAAGTTGGTG